GAGCTTCGGGGAGGGGGTCCAATTGAGCTTCGGAGGGGGGGGGGTCCAATTAAGTTTTTTATGCTGATACATGTAACCATATTTAAGCATGTAACTTTGTTTGTCTACTCAAATAGATATCGTCAAGACATATTTAAAACAAACAAACAAACAGTACCATGCTCTGCTCTGTTTGATAAAAAGCACACAGAGTATTTATAGAATGTGTGAATTTTAGAAAGGATGGCAATATCTGATTTTATGATTTTACCTCTAACAGAACCCCGAACATGAGATTATTTGGGATATTAACACACGATTAGTTTAACGTACACTGAACGATCGCTAAACCAGACTGGGACCATTAAGAAACTACATGTAGCTACACGTGACTCTGACAATCCGAATATATAAGTCTACTAAATCAGACTCTGACTATCCCAACATATAAGTCTACTAAACCAGACCCTGATTATCCCAACATATAAGTCTACTAACCCAGACTCTGACTATCCCAACATATAAGTCTACTAACCCAGACCCTGACTATCCCAACATATAAGTCTTCTAAACAAGACCCTGACTATCCCAACATATAAGTCTACTAACCCAGACCCTGACAACCCCAACATACAAGTCTACTAAACGAGACCCTAACAAACCGAACATATAAGTCTACTAAACCAGACCCTGACTTTCCCAACATATAAGTCTACTAAACCAGACCCTGACTACCCCAACATATAAGTCTACTAACCCAGACTCTGACTATCCCAACATATAAGTCTGCTAAACCGGACTCTGACTATCCCAACATATAAGTCTACTAAGCCAGACTCTGACAATCCGAATATATAAGTCTGCTAAACCAGACCCTGACTATCCCAACATATAAGCCTACTAAACCAGACTCTGACTATCCCAACATATAAGTCTCCTAAACCAGCCTCTGACAATCCGAATATATAAGTCTACTAAACCAGACCCTGACTATCCCAACAAATAAGTCTACTAAACCAGACCCTGACTATCCCAGCATATAAGTCTACTAAACCAGACTCTGACTATCCCAACGTATAAGTCTACTAAACCAGACTCTGACAATCCGAATATATCAGTCTACTAAACCAGACCCTGACTATCCCAACATATGAGTCTACTAAACCAGATCCTGACTATCCCAACAGATAAGTCTACTTAACCAGACCCTGACTATCCCAAAATATAAGTCTACTAAACCAGACTCTGACAATCCGACTATATAAGTCTACTAAACCAGACCCTGACTATCCCAGCATATAAGTCTACTAAACCAGACTCTGACTATTCCAACATATAAGTCTACTAAACCAGACTCTGACTATCCCAACATATAAGTCTACTAAACCAGACCCTGACAATCCCAACATACAAGTCTACTAAACGAGACCCTAACAAACCGAACATATAAGTCTACTAAACCAGACCCTGACTATCCCAACATATAAGTATACTAAACCAGACCCTGACTACCCCAACATATAAGTCTTCTAAACCAGACCCTGACTATCCCAACATATAAGTCTACTAAACCAGACCCTGATTATCCCAACATATAAGTCTACTAACCCAGACTCTGATAATCCGAACATATAAGTCTTCTAAACCAGACCCTGACTATCCCAACATATAAGTCTACTAAACCAGACCCTGACTATCCCAACATATAAGTCTACTAAACCAGACCCTGACTATCCCAACATATAAGTATACTTAACCAGACCCTGACTATCCCAACATATAAGTCCAATTAACCAGACCCAGACTATCCCAACATATAAGTCCAATAAACCAGACCCTGACTATCCCAAAATATAAGTCTACTAAACCAGACCCTGACTATCCCAACACATAAGTCCAATAAACCAGACCCTGACTATCCCAAAATATAAGTCTACTAAACCAGACCCTGACAATCCGAACATATCAGTCTACTAAACCAGACCCTGACTATCCCAACATATAAGTTTACTAAACCAGACCCTGACAATCCGAACATATAAGTCTACTAAACCAGACCCTGTTTATCCCAACATATAAGTTTAGTAAGCTATAAACCAAACTCTGACAATCCAGTGAGACTCCTATGATTTAGAATATCGTTGTACCAAATTGACTGTCTTTCCACAGAAATCTGTTAAACCGGACACCGAAAATCTAGAATCTCGTTAAAACAGATTCTAAGGTCCGAAGTACACATGTATCATTAAACCGTTCTTCGAAAATCGAACAATATCGCACTCTGGACTCCTTCAATATCCTGTATTTCGTGAAACAGGATTGAACTAATCATAAATATTGCTAAAGCAGTGCAGCTCCGATGGTAAGTAATTTTGTTAAACTAGAGTACACATGTAGAAACGCATTTCAGTGTTAATAATAAACACGGGGTAATCCCGATACTCGCTATTTCGCTAACGTCAGAGTACTACTCGCTGTTGTGTATTAAATCCGAATATTCATAATTAAAGTATTAAATCTACTATGACAGGCTTTTGTGTTATCATTGTTTCAATTGTGTTGCTCATATCACATCATTATACTTACGCGTAATCTTGTATTTTACCGCAACACTCTTCCCGCAATCGTGGGAGAATTTGTCTCTGCCGTAAGCCGTATTTGGCGCAAAACTAACTTTTTGCTCCGACGTAATCCAGACAGCGAGTATTGCCACAGACTTAGATAATCTAATTCCGTGGTATTACTCTGACGTAAGCGAAATAGCGAGTATCGGGTTACCCCCGTGATAAATGACAATGGATTTTACAAGCAAATGCAGTAATACATGACACATGTATGTAGGTTTATTGACTAGGCCATGTACATGTACAATGTAGTCATATGCTGTAACAGAACAACGTTTACTGTGCTCCTTTGCTTTTGTAAATGTACCTTTATTTTTTTAGTTGTTCAATTATTCTGTGATATTTGCTTGCTATTTCTTAACTAGCTTTAAATGTACCTGCATGCTGTTTATTCGTGTTATTTCTTATTTTTTATCCCTTGTTTGTCGCAGGAATAGCACTACAGTGAAAATGTTTACTGTTTAAAATATGCGACGTTAAAAAAAATTGTATCTTGTATCCAATAATTAATTAATACTAAGATTGTTTAAAATCATTTAATGGATAAATCAATGTAAGATTATTTGCACACGTTACACAATACATTATAGGAGCAAAATATTGAGTAAATATTATACATGTATAAGAGGAAACTCAAAAATAATGTTCCCATATCAGTCAACAACATCCCTGAGGAGAAACAATTTCGCATTTTGTACTGTTAAAACCTGGAACAATCTTCCGGTGGACCTTGTATCCGCTCTAAATATAAATACTTTTAAGAACAGAATAGAAAAACTTTGGAAGAATGAAGGACTTCATTATAATTAAAAGTATCACCCTCGGGAGTTGGAGTAAAAATGTTTCGTCCAAGATATGCTCCTCGTGCAAGACCATACACAATATACTGTATACAGAGATATTAATGTGACCATCACTGATATGAAAAGATAAAGATAGAAAAAAAACCCATTAAAATTACTTCAAACTGATGTCAATATGTCAATAAAAAATTATATCGTATGTTGTCGACGGTTATTATAATCGTAAGCACGGAAATAGATTATGATAATATATCACATGCATGATGCTTGTATCGATCATGTATAGCCAGATCATGATCACAATTCAGATTCAACCATAGCATGCAGGATGGTGAATTACACAAAGTTTAGGCAAGTGCTTTTCATCAAACTTTAATAATTTTAACGCAGACGGTAAAAATATTGGCACTATGAAAACATTGTCGATAAAAAATATCTTACAGTTTTGTAACTTGAACAAGTCTATTTATCATCATGTGACATACGCATAGCAGTTGGTCATGTGACATCTCCACCGATTGTACAAAATGGCGGACGGAGGATAGTGGTGTTGTAGTAAGATATGCCTTGATTAACATGTCGTACTTCCAGGACGATGATGACGATGAGCAGGAAAAACTTCTCGAGACACACCCACCACCTCCTGTCTATAGGTAAGCGCCACTGTCAGTCACTTACGGATTTCATATTGATGAACAGTAAATATCAGACACTCTCGACAGTCTCGTTCAGAACACATGAACGCATATACATGTACATTCGTTCCTTGAACTATTGTCATCATCATCAAGCTTTTATTTCCCCTGAAAGATGATATTGGTGTACAAAGATTGGACCCTAACGCCTCCCTTAGTCCTTACCAAATATTAATCTGTATTTTATTTCAATGCTATCGTACAATGTAAATACTCTTTATCTGTTTATCTCTTTTGGACTGTCTGCTCTTTCACATGAGTGTAATATGAAAGATGACACATGTATTGATTTTGTTGGCATATATGAATTGTGCTTGTGCAGTATAGTACTAAGGAACGTCACAGGTTTGCGTTCTGATAAATCCATAAAATACAAATATTAACACAAAAAAAAAAATTAAAAAAAAAAAAAAAAAAAAAAAAAAAAAAAAAAAAAAAAAAATGGTGATTTGGGAAAAAAATACTAAAGTAAAGTTACAATGAACATATATGGTACATGTTTATATATGTGAAACATAACTGGACTGGTTTCAAAATGGTGAGCTTGCCAACCCTTGTTTCAAGCAGTTGGTGAATGCTTAGCATATTAAAGGGGACACCCTAACCTGCGATGAAGTAGCTAATTATCTAATGAGTGTTTAATTCACCGAGTTGTCATAGGGTGACCATACACTGATTAGGTAGAGAGCCGAATGAGGAGCTGGTTCATAATACAACCATATTGTATTCACCATAAACAAGCAACTATACTATGCAAGTTCATACAGGGCTAGACTAAAACGTTTGGTTATAGAGCCGGAAAGGTGGTTACAATTATCCGGAATTATAAATGGACATTGTTACAGCAAGGGGACATTTTTATATATTGCATTGTGCAGCGGAGGTCGGGTATTAATATAAGTACTATGATCCTCCTGCCTGGACTTCAAATATTTTAATGATGTTAAGTTTGATTACAAAGTAATATTTCTTGTTTACAATGAATGTTTTAGACCTCAATGTTTTAACCGGTTAGGCAATATCTAAAGCTATGAATAAAATTTGTGAAAATTTAAACACAGTGACTAAGAAGAGACAACATTGGCCAGACTTTTGTGTACTGTATGCATGTCTCATAAAAAAAACTACCTATGATATTGGGAAATCACTAACTATTTTGTTGACTCAAGATAAATGTTTGATAATAATTCACATTGTTTGATGCAATAGTTTCCTATCACATTGAGAAAAATTATACATTACTGTAGCTATAATCAGAAGGCAAGACTCAGCAGTGCCTATAATCTGTACAGTAGATGTGTACAGTTACAGATGTGTAAACTGCATGCTTTACATGTATATTCTGAATTGGTGAACATCGTGTAAAACTTAACATTGATAAAATAATGAGTTAAGCAAAGGATTTGTGTTATTGAGTTTAAGAAATTACCTTATAATATTCTTATACCCCAAATGTTGATTTTGGTGGTGGTGGTGATATTGTAAAAGTAGGGAGGGTGGGTGGGTGTTATATAGTATTCTCCCACCCTTCACAAGTGTGTTTCCCGTTTTAGCTGGGAAAGATCAGCTTGTCACCCCCTAGAGGGAGATAGCCTTAATGTGCTGATTAGCACGTGTTCAATTGTGACGTCATTTAAATGTGTCACCGTTAATTGTGACGTCATTTAAATGTGTCACCGTTAATTGTGACATCATCAAAAGTAAATGACGATATTCATACCCCACTTGTGTTTTTGTTTACAAATAGACTACTGTGGGTGGAGTTGTGACTGAAATAATAGGATGGGAGAAAAATAATCATCCCCTACCTTGAGATTGTAACACAGAAATCTCCAACCCTCGGGGTGATTTTTTTTAACCCTCAGATTCTATTAATCACCCTGTTGGTTATTGGTCCATGAACAATGTAAGCGCAACTCCTCCTTACTTGATTGTTGGATCTTTTGCTTTAACCTGGCACAGGTTCATCACATATACATTAATGAAGAAAAGAATATGCAATTTGACTATTATACCCCCTACAAACAAACTAAAAAGATAGTGGCAGATTGGCATGAGGATCGTGGCTCTAATAAGATGAAAACAATATGTGTTATATCTAATACCGTGTGTATATGCTTTATCGCTTATTTATAGTGGTTTTTTTCTAGGGTGGGTGGGGGAATTATGAGGATATATCTATGTGAGGTTGCTCACAGTTTCACTAGTTCCATATGAAAACAATTTTGGAGTTAAGGGAATTTCGTTTCATTTCTCTCAAATTCAGTTACCGGGTATAATGCTTTACTATGGACAATTTTAATTTTAAAGAAATCTCCATCATTAGGGAATGTTCGTGAAACTGGCAGTCAGGAGAATGCTACCCCAAAGGGGAGCTGTACCTGGTACAATATGTAATGAGTATATGTACATGCATGATAAAAGATAAAATGGTTTGTAGTATGTACTTACATACATATGAGCACAGATGAACAGATTTCATGTACAATTTTTACTCACTCTCATTGAGGCAAAATTTAACTATAATATATGTATTTGATACATTTGTAAGCCCTGAATATGACATGGACATTTCACATTGCAACCATAGGTTTGGATTCTGTCATTTGTGTAACTGCACGGCTAAGTGATACTAAACTGATCAGGTGAAATATATATATTACTAGGTCAATTAAAATTATCTCATTCATTGAACCAGGCTAGGTTATATGTGGTACCCAAGACCAGAAATGCTTGACTGATTTTTGACACCTTAAAGCTGACAGTGCAAGTTAAAAAGCTTTCAGTTAAGACTGAAAAATAAATCTATTTCTGGATTTGAGATCTTCCCCAGTAACCATCTCTCCCCGCTATCATTTCTAAGGAAGTGCCGACATTTTAGTTTGTCCTTGTTTTGTAGTGAGTATATATAATATGTGTCTTGCTGGGTATAAAAAGCATGTTACCTGTCAAACGGGTTATCATTCTACAACTGACCTTCTTGTGACTCATCAATACATGTACACCACCCACCCTGAGTGATGGACAACCAATATCAAAAACTAACTTGAAGACTTTGAAACACTGCCAAGCTGGTCGTTACTGGATTGTGCATCAGATGTTTTGATTGGTTGTATTTTACTATAATTTTGACTTTTTTTAGATAAATGATATCTTTCATGTGTTCCATTTCAATGTTATTCAACTGTTCTGATGAACATTTTTGGTTCAAAATTGTTAAAGTGTTCAATCTATATAGTATGTATACTAGTGTCATCTTGCACACAAATGATAGCCAATTTGACAGGTAAAGTGAATTGTTTTTTAATCTCAATTTAAAGCCTTTTATCTGGCGTTATATACACTCTTTTTCTTAGGAAATCAGTTTGCGACCTTCATTAATACAAAATAGATTTCTGTAAGATATCAACTTGGTGAAAATAAAGTTATTATGATATTCTGAATATTTATTGGAAATGTCCTTAAATTTACATTCTGATCAGTGATTTCCTTTGCTCAGCTTTACTGCTGAATACAGGCTGTTTACTAATAGCTAAAAACTGCCTTATATTCCAAAAATGACATAAAACTGAGGAATATATTCCCAATTTCATGACAAAATAATGCTATATTTCCCCACTTCATAAAGGAACATGTTGTTGAAAATTTAGGTAGCATACACAATGCCTTCGGGATTTACGAATGTAAACATTGCCATGTGCTCTACACACGTGGTCCCTTCTATCTATAGCATCGCCTGCGCGCCATGACGTTCCGACCTGTCTATGAATCTGACGTCATTATTTAAATAATGTGGCATGCATGCATGATATGACTGCCATTACCTGTATTAGAATTAGGCGGCATAACGTCATGTTGGCAGACTTGCTTCATCTGTTCTTTGCTATTGTTTTACACTCATGATTTGATGGCCGTCATATATGCATTGTCATCACATGTACAGTATATAAATCCATAAGTTGTTATACATGTAAGTTAGAGATCTAGATAGGCCGTTAGATGAAGTGGGCGGGGCGTCATTAAATTGACATCAAACCGGAAGACAACGTAATGAAGTCTCTTTAAAATTCCTCTTGGGCGTTTACAGAAAATTAAAAGGTCACCAGATTGACAATCTGGATAATAACAAAAGAAGAGGACAGCTGTTATATATTAAGAAAGATTTAGTAAGAAAAGAAGTCAAATTTCAATCCATATTTGAAGAATATCTTTGTGTGAGTATAAAGTTAAACACTGATAATGAACTAGTAGTGTGTTTGATATGCAGATCAGAAAGTGGATCCCGTGAAAATAATATAAATTTGAGAACTCTTTCGTCCGAAATATCTAACCAACGTTCATCACATGTACTTGTAATGGGTGACTTCAATTACGCAAATCTGAACTTGGAAACATGCAACACCACTGGGGACAGTACGACATCGCCCGAATATCTCTTCATAGAGAGCGCAAATGATGCTTTCCTTTACCAACATGTCAGAACACGAACCCGACGGAAAGGAACCAACAAACATCACTTATTAGACCTTTGTTTTCACAAATGAAGAGGATACGGTAATGCATATTGACCACCAAAGCCCTCTAGGAAAGAGCGACCATTGTGTCTTGACTTTCATTTGTGATACTGTTGTAAAAGAAACTGCTCACCCAAGACCTTTATTCAATAAGGAGGACTCTACACTAATAAATGCAGAAATTGGGCAATATTAACTGGTCGGGCTGCTTTCGGAATGATGACATAAACTACAATTGGAAATGCTTTTATGATAAGAGACAGGAGATTCAACAAAAACACATTCCCATCAGAAAAAAACCCTTACTGGTTACAACAGAAAGCAAGGCTACCCAATCGATAGTACAACCGGAGAACTTATCGGAAAGAAACACGCACTCGGGGAAAAAAAATATTGTTACTGAGGAAGAAACCATCAGGCTAGAATACTGTAAAATAAGAAATA